CGCTTAAATATTATTGTCCATTATAAATGTACAATAGATTGATTACTTCCTTATCTATATAAATTTTCAATGATGATGAATGATTATAATTAATGATTATATTGTATATATATTACAAATATAATATGTAATAACTAATGGTTTTCTTTGAATTATTATTGTTCTTCTGACAAATTGATTTATCCCTGATTTGCAAAGTGAGTGTTCGAATCTTCCACTGATAGAATGCAAATTTTCGATATGAGTCTAGTGAAAATGCCATCTGATTCTTAATTGACATTATTCAATTCCTTGGATGCATTTCTATTATAACGGTGGCAGATTTCTTCTCCTATTATTACTATTATGTCCATTTCACAAAGACCTGAAGTACCATGTGTCTTCATTTGTTGGAGTTAGTACAGAAAATCGTATCATCATCTGTTGATATATCTGTTGATATATCTCCTTCTTAATTGTGATTGTCTCTTCCACAATCGCGCAATGATTCGCCATTGGATGCATCGCGTTATTATTCAATCCTATCTGGTGCAATACGCGCGTGATTAAATAAGGGACCAAGGTGATGCCATATGTCACGGTATTTAGTTGATAGGTTCTCGGAGGTTTCTCTCCATAAGATGCATTGTAAAGCTTGGTAATGATATGCTACGTATTTATCGAAACGTTTTCTTAATATTGGCATTTAGGACAATGCGAAAACGGATTAAAATAGATAAAAAAATCATTTTGGACTATCAGCCCGACTGCTTATTGTACAAAGGAATCCCAGTTGATGATTTTGCAGAACCATCGAAAATTATCCGTACCTTGGTAGTCATACTCGTGGCCTTGAGTGCCGCAGTAAAAATTAGGGATTGTGTTCAGTCGCGAATTTAACATTATCTTAATCATATGACTTAATACTCTCGCATGAACGCTACTATTTACCCAACTCAGATAATTTTGCAAATTTTTTCTTCAAACTGAGTCACCTTTTCGCCCAAATCTGTGGATGCCTTCAATGAATGGAATATCAACAACATAACGTTCATTCGAATCCTGTCTCATCGTCTTCATAAAACGGTTTTCGCATAGATGAATAGCTATTCCCTTGTTATGTGATATATTTTTTAACTCCCAAAACTGTGTTAATTGTCTATTGAATTAATCGTTCATAATTACAAATCAGGATATTGAACTGTCCTGTTCCGTCTACTGAAAACCCAATTGCGACTTAATAAGAATGAGTAAACCTTTTTCCAATCTATGCTGTCCCATGCACATAATATGCCACAAATGGTTATTGTCAATTATGAGATCTATGTTGCACTGAACACAGAAGAATTAGGATCCGCGAAAGTAATATGGAATGGGATTGGTGTTTTTGAAATTGGAAAAGGGATGTTAGAGATAAGTGTATCCAAATGTTAGACATGATAAAATGGTGCGAAACCTGGTGCATCTGGAAGTTAAACGCAGATTCCGCCATGTACTAAACCTTTCGTGTCAGCGGCCTCAACACCAAAAGTGACAAAGTGAGCTAAGAAGCCTGAGTCGTTTCGCTAAAAATGCTTATGATATTTACTTGCGAACCTTTATCTAATATTGCTCGACATTTATGTTTTTTTTTTCTCTTTGATAATAATGTGTACAATTGCAGTTGAAAGCATGATACTTTCAAGCTCGTCGACATAATATGCGGAATACGACGATTATAGGACGGCACTCGCGGACGCCTCCTCCTCAGTCCTATGAGTCGATTTGGATATCTTCATAATATGTAGAAGAGTCTAGCATAACATTGTCTATACGAATCACTACCGCATGTCTTAGCCCTGTCTGGAGGCAGTTAAAATATTTTAATTCGTTGATATGAGCAATTCGCGAGAACTTAAATTTCTTGCGAGTGCATGCAGTAACACAATGGGCTGGTTTCTCAGCAGCCACCAGCACAAAAGTTCGCGAACGCGATTTTTGAGCGTAAGATTTCGTCGACATAATTGTAATTGTAGTGCTTGGAGTGAATTTAAATAAAAATTTACATCATTGTTTAAGAAAGATTTGGAGATCATTTAGAATTTTTTTGCTGCTTAGTTCGGATACATGCCTTTCGCATATTTCAGCTGTTCACAGATTTAGTTTTGTTTCGAACAAAATGTGTCAAAAGAGATCAATAGATTCTCAATAATGATTCAAATAATGATTTCAAAAATCAAACCATTATTGCAAAAATTGTTTATTAATTGGCGCAGGGCAGACGTCTAAACTGCTGCTACTGAAATCAGTCAATAATAACCATAGATACGTATGTACCCATGTGGTGATTACTCGTATCTTCGTATTGTTCACGCAATAATTTCCATACGGTCAAATAATTATTGATATTGCTTAACACTCGGGTAGCTTCTTTTAAATTTTAGATAATGGAATCTCAATATTAATAAGAGACTCATTGCGTATTTATCATAAAGTCGAAGCTGTCATGAAAACAGACCCATTCACTATAAAAACTCAGCAGAGGAATTGAAGGCAACCGAAGTCTAATTGACGATGTCCATGCGCATTCATAGACATCATTGATAAGTTTGAAAATACATCATTTCTGGTAATCTCGTCTGCGGTTACTAATGCTTGAACTTACAAAACTTTAAATTCTTGATCAACATTTCGGTTCAGCCACTCCCGAAGAGAAATAGTTCTTCAATGTGTGTCATAGTAATTTTTGAATTTCGTTAGATTTGAGCCGACCGTTCATCAATTAATTTTCTCAACTCATCGTTTGAGTATATCATGCTTTAACACGAATGAGATTCAATAAAAACTCGATTCACAACATAAATAGAATTGAAGACAAATTGATGAAAAAGACGAATTGTCGTTTGATGTTCTCGTTTTCTGGAACATGGCAATTGACGGCCGTTTGCAGGAATCCTATGTCCATTGAATGACATTCTCCAGAAAAGGCGAAGTGACTGTCCTTCTGATGGAATCTACGCTTGCAGTCTGAGTCTCGAGAGTTGGTTTCTTCAACACTCTCATTGCAATTGCTTGAATCCACCAAATATCCAGCTCGAAGAACCAATGTTCGCAACAATATTATTATATGCTTGTAGAATGCGTGTCATTAGAGGACAGAGTCTTTCTCAATGTCACAGCAACTAATTATGTCAAATGATGATCAGAGCACTATGTGATGTTAGAACAAAACTAATATAATTGTCGTATTCAACGATATGTTTACAATGAGATCTTCTTATCAAATGAAGTTTGTCCTCTCGTAGAAGAAAAATCCTTTCCTCATTCAATTGGGAGTCATAGTTTCCTGATGGGGCATGTCAATAACCAATAATAATATTGTGGCCAGTTCATAGCCTCCAAGTTCGAGGAAATTCCTCGTTTGAGTGATGATCTGTATACAAAGATCTTACGATAAATAGCAACAAATCGGCGTGTCTTTTTTATAAATTCCTTGAATTACAATGTTATTTGTCTTTGAATCAGCCACATTTAGAATATGTCAGCGTTCGATAGGATCGATTCAGCTGGTCTGAAATATCAGAAATATATAATTATAAATGACTAAATTCTCAAAGATAGTCTCTTGAGATAACACCATTTTTTGTTTAGGTTTAATAGAGGCCTGTGCGCGATAAGAATAGAAAGATATGATTTTTTTATAAAAAATTTCTCCGAATATGTCTATAAATCTCGTGAATAAATGCTCGCAAACATGCTATAATTGCCTTATCAATTTCCAAAATATCAATATAAATATTTTTAATATAGTTTTAAATACTTCAAATTAACATAATTCAAATAGACATCTAACTATAAATAAATTTTTGAATCTAAATCTAAGCTTTACGAAAATTCATGAATAAAAGATAAGTTGATTAAAATTTTTTTAGACAATGTTGAAAACATTATTTTTCATAATATTTATGAATATAATATTCTTTATTTCAACTTCTCTAATATCTACCAAAATTAATTTGAATTTTTATATTATGAATAATAATAAGACTGAATTCTTTTGATTTTGATATTTAATTTCATTTTCTTTTATCATTTTACATGTTCAAAATTTTTAATTTTCAATTATCTATTTATTTCTTGACGATTGAGCAATCAATCATAATTCTTTTATCAGAAGATATTTTCGTCTTTCCCATTTCCTGACTAGATTTAATATATATTAAAAATAAAAATCATAAAAATCAGTTTTTCTATAGTGATATTCTAAGTGATAGAATAATGTTATATTTTACATATTTTAAAAAGTATATCAAAATAATATGAAAGACAAATGGTTAGGTTAAAAAATGGGGTCATTTAATATATATATATATATTAATAGTAAAATAAGCAATAAAATATATGTGATAATATTTGTTATGAAAATGTATCAATTTGTTATGCAACATGTATAATTCTTTTATCAAATCATTGGCAAGATCTTTGCTTTGTAATTATTGATTATGACAATTATATATTCATTAAAAAATTCCTTTAGCTAAACACAAAATTATCAAACGAGCATTATCTTCTCTACTAAAAAGAAACAGATGTGACATCACATTATTTCCATGGTATTTTATTAGGCAGAAATAGGTCACGTGAACAGACTTCCATCAAGCATCACGTGACGTGTCTATGCCTAATACAGTAGTGGGAATAATATGACGTTGCTTATTTTCTTTCTGCGGAAATTCATCGGAGAGGAATTGACTTACTTTTAATAGAAAAGCATATCGTGCTCATGTGACAACTCGGGACTAGACATGTGTAACTTTGTATATCAATATTTGGTATGAATTTGAAAACAAACGTTATGTTCGTCTTCTCTTTGTTCTTTTCCACATCGCAAGATAAAACTAAGAACGAAAAGTAGAATCAAAGAATGAGAACACATACAAATGAAATTCAATATTTTTTTAAAAACTTAAAATAATTTATAATATAAATTTTTATTCTTTTTTTTCAATAAAATAATTACTATTATTTTTTTATTTCATTGATATTGTATTATTATATTGTATAATTTGAGACATGAGAAATATATTACGAAAATAGGGATAAATTAGAATTAAGCAATGATACAATCATATTTGTCATATTTAAAATTCTTAACTTTTTAAATAATAAATCATGTACTATATGTTCAATATTTAATGATCATATTTCGAATAGCTAGATATCGTTTTGAAACAATAAAAAAACAATAAAAATTCTATTCAAGCCTTGTCGTTAACTACGCATAAATTAATTGAAAATGAAATAATATAAATAATCTTAAAAATATTCAACAAATATAATCTAAAATATAATATAAGTTTTAATAATTAGAAATTATTGCATGAAAAATTGAGCATTTGAAATTGTTTCTTTTATAGCTTACTTTGATGCCATATTTGCTTCATATAAGAATGAACATGTCTAATAAAATAAAATGATAATTAAAATGATAATTATGCAAAAGAGATATGTCATCTGAAGTGATTATGAATAAATCTTTATATCAAAAAATAGATGCTCTATGTTGACTCGTTGATAGAATTGCAGATAGCTATTTTTTTTTTTTTTAGTTAAAAATTATACGGTTTAATAGTATATTCGTTAGTCAATAAATCATAGTTTTATAAATCTAGATAATAAATCTAAGTTTATAGATAATTAAGTTATTGTATTAATTGTTAATTAAATTTGAATTGAAATTTTAATTTTATAGTATTTAAGTTGTTTTAGTTTTGTTAATTTTTCACCTTGTTTGCTTCAGAAGATATAAAATTAAATAAACAAATTACCTTTAATTAGAACAATATACGTATAAAAATTAATTGAATATTTATGACAGATGCTAATGATTCACATATAAAAAATTGAAATATATTGATAGCCGATAATAAACTGAGAAAAAGAATTGAAAATCTATTCGATATTGAAGATTTTACTTAAAGATTATACGAATATTTATATATAATATAAAAGACAATATATTTATCATTTGATAAATAATATGGAATATAAATCGCATGCATAAAAGCAAATAAATTCTTTTTCTAAATAAGTTTTTAATAAATACTCAATTTCGTGCATAACGAATTATTTAGAAATAGTATTTACCGAATTTTTTGGCAAATACTTAAAATATACATAATATATAATATTTACTAAAAACTTCAAATTTTAATACAATCTTAAATCTGCTAGTTGTCTGTCTTAATTTTAATCCTCAATTGTAATCATGTCATTATTTGTTTTTAAAATTTATAAAAGTTAAAGAAAACACAATTTTTTAATTCACATTTTTTCATGTTGTTTAATTTTTTTTCATTTCATTATACAAGTTTATAATTATAAATTTATCAAAAGTTTTTTCACAATCTTTATAAAATTTAATCACGCATATTTTTGCTATTTATCTACGAAACATGTGATTTATTTAATAGCTATCATCTTTTAATAACCGTATAAAGATCAGTTATATACTGATTTCTTTTTCAAATCCTAATTATTTGAATCAAATAATAACAATAATGGAAATAATTAATATAATAAATTAATTTTTACGATTTGACAGATAATTCTAATTGATGGAATTGTCATATGTTTTGAAAGATCTGAAGCTGTTTTTATTAAAGTATATATCTGAATAATTAAATAAGTATTAATAATATTTAAGATTTTCCAACATAATCTTCTACTTTATTAATATTAAAAGATATATACAAGAAATCTAGTGTTTGTTTTTATTTATTACTTATTTATTACAAAATTATAATACTTTATTTCTTTTAATAGATACAAGTTACACAGTTATTTATGAAGCTAAACGATTAATTTAATTCAACATGATGAATAAAAAATTTTTTTTATAAAATATCATATAATTTCAAATATCACAATAATTATGAATTATTAAATATTTGATATAAAAAATAATTAAAAACAATTTTTAATATTTTATTCTTTAATATTATCTTTAATATTTTCTTCAAATTTCTGCTTTAATATTTTTAATCTACATCATAAATTAACTCTAACCAAAAACAAATAATGACTTATAGCAATTGCATGAATTATTCTGTATGATGGATATAAAAAAGCAGTATATCTCCATAATAAGTATATCTTCATCTCAATAAAAGTATACGTTATCAAAATTCATTATTTTTACATTTGATATAGAAGATATCTAATCTAATGGCAAATACCGAGTTTTGATAAGTTCAAAAAATACATTGTAAAATATAATGAAATCTAAATGGTTGCGCATACTAATAGCAACATTTGTATTGAATTTGTATATAAAAGGAAAGCTGGATAAATTTTTTTCTATCTTTCACGTTCTTTAAAAAAGTTCATGTATGAAATAGGAAATCTCCATGATGTGCAATTTCACGTTATTTAACGTGTAAAATGATTGAGAGACTCTTAATCTTAATAATAATAAATATTATAAAATAATCTCTTATTAATATTCAGTCACTAATAATCCAATTGAAAATTGTTCACGTGTATTGATGCACGTTTATTTTTAAATTAAATTAGTAAAATATAAAAAAAAATTGCTGCATTTCAAAAAATAAAATATTGTTTATAAGAGAAAATATATTTGTATGTTTTAAATATAAGGAATAATTAATAATTAATAAAAGAAACAAATAATTCCAATGTTTCTATAACTATCATCTTAAAAATTATTGTATCCACATAATAATTAATTTTATTAACAATGATAGTTTCTATTATTGACAATGAGATTATCAACTGTTATCAAAAATTTTTTACCAAGATTTAATAATTAACACAATTATTAAATCAATATAATTTTGATTTTTTTCGATAATAACAATCGAAAATGTTTTCGATAAAACATCTTATTGATTGTTATTATTATAACAATCAATAAGATGATTTAGATGAAATATATACATATATCATATATTATAAATAACTAAAATTTATTATTAAATTTCAATCATTCATTTTCGATTTTTTCGTATGTAAAATCAGAAAAATAAATGTTTTTGATAGATAATAGTTATGACATATTCTTTTTATCCAATATTGATATATATTGATAAAATTATATATTAATAATATTGATAAAAAAGTATAGACAAAGCAAAATAAAACTTTTTTATTGTTATTACTGATAATTATAATTCTGGAATAAATATCTATATCTTTATTTTATTTATCGATTTTAAGTTGATTTTTATACATATTTCTTAACAATTCGTTTTATACAATAAATATACATATATAAATTGGATAAATAAAATTTCTACTTTTTTTTTTTTTTTAATCACACTTTTTTCATTTTCTATCTATACAATTATATTTTGATCGCCCATTTTCATTTTCTAATATTAATTTTTAATTACTAGAACTTATATATATATATATATAATATGTTTCTGTTATTATTATATAAATCTCAATTTTAATCATAAATTGTTTTTTATACGTTATTTATTATGTTTTTATTAATAAAAAAATGACAAATATTAGGTCAATGGCAGTTATCGATATCTATTCTAAAGATTCGTAGTTCTTTCATCATTCTAATCTAGAAAACCCTCTTCGTCATCTATAACAGTTGTAAGACTAGTTTGAATTAATTTTAATTGTGAAAAACATAATAAATGCATGAAAGAAATATAATATAATGAATTTATTTATAATGCACAAAATATAAAAATACATTTTTTATTATTTTTGTCAAGATAAAAGGTGTAAGTTAATCTAATTAAGCGAGCCATATTGCAGAACACAGTCGTAATCAATGCGGCCGGCATTCTCCGGGGTTATCGAGTGACCTCTTCGTTTATAAATTTTATTATAAGCAACCTTCAATTCACCATGTGCTTGAAACGTGTCATGATTTGTCAATTCTTTCGATGTCTACTTTTTTCCCGATTTTAACAAATGATTAGGTATACTGAGAATTTGAAGAAAATGATAATAAAAGTAAATTTCGCTAAAGATCGAGAGATTTTTCATTAGAATATTTTTAAAGAGGGAAATTTTTTTATTTCTTTTTTTCTATGGATTTATGAATTTTTTCAAATTCTTCTTCTGATTGTTTTAAATGAATCAAAATAATAATTTTTTTTTTTTTGCATAGACGATACAAATTTTTCAAAAATTTGAAATTATCATCTTTATCGATATTGAAGAAATAAAAATTTATTCAAAAAAGGTTGTAGAAACAATTTATTGCAAATTTTTTCATTTAAAATTCGTATAATATTTAATCTTTCTAATTCAACATATTTCTATTAAATTTTGTTCTTTTTTCTTTTTGAATGCTAAGAATGTGATTAAATCAATTTTAAAATTTGCATGCCAATTTTAAAAATTAGAAATAGAAGTGTATCATCAAAAAAATCTTTTTTAATAGAATCAATCAAATACTTTTATGAAATTTTGTTATTAATATAGATATATTGTATAAATTATTTTACTAATTTAATTATTATTAACGATAATATTTTATTATTGATGAAAACTTCACTTTTTTTATATAAAATTTTTATCAATATATATATTTATATATATATATATATATTCTTATATTTTTTTGAAAATGAATCAAAATATTATATATTTTCAATATATTTAGAAAGAAGAAATGAATGAAAAGCTTAATGAAATATATGAATCCTAATTTAAAAAATAGAAAACTAAAAAATAGAAAACTAAAAATAAAAACTAAAAAATAGAAAATAAAAATTTTTTTCGAAATAACTTTTTATTCAAAATGTTATTCTAAATGATTTCATATCAATTAGCTTAAGATTCTAAAATAAGGTTCCACATCTTAATAAAAACCTATAAGATTATAATATATGTCACAAATGTTATAAATTTTTATTTATATTTATATAAAAAAAAAATTTTTGTGAAAATTATTGACAAAATTGATATATATGTGTGATTTGAAATCTTAAATTGTAAATGTAAATATAAAATCTAGTAACAAAATTTTGATCAACTGAATAGAAAGAATAACCAATAGAACTTTTATATATGAAGTAAATCTAGGCTTATCCTTTAATTATTGAGATAATATTTAATTGAGTAAAGAAAAAGAAAAGTAATTTATAATAATATATATTATGAATTACAAATTATAATTTGCTTTTTCATATTATTTTTTTATTCTATTGTAGAGATGTTATTCTTAGCAAATTTTTAGCATATCGATTATTATATCAAAAGAATTGTATTGTATCAAAAAAAAAAGTTAGGAATTAAAGATAAATAATCATCGTTATTATTACATATTATTATTATATCAATTATTATTCTTTTTTAAAAAAGAATCAATGTATGAAGTGTAAATGGTAGAAAAATGAAATATTCATTTTGCTTTTTTGTTCCATAAAATAGTATAAATAAAAAAATGAATAATTTAAAAAATCTACACTGTACAATTCAAAAATTAAATAAATAAAAAATATTCTACATCTTACAAACATTATAAATTTTTATGTTTTTTAAATTAAAAAAAAAAATTGATAAAAATTGATTTTTAATTTTGAAATTAAATAAATTAATTTTTTAAAGCAAAATAAATTATGAAATATTATAAAAAAAGAAAAATTTGATTTTTTTTATAATTTTTCTACTATAATACTATAATATATTCATTTAAAAAAATTTTTCTACTTCATTTAAATAAATGCTAATGTGTAATTAAATATCAGCACTTATTTAAATGAATTTTAGCATTTTGTTAATATCTGTAATTTTAGAGTACAATGGTTCCATTACTATACGCGTACAATGTATATACAAATATATTATAAATATCTAAAGTAATCTTGAGTATATTTTTCTGTGATAAGTCTATTTCAAATTAGATCATAATTTAAGAAAGTTCCATGTGAATCTATGAGAGTATAGATTTTTCATAGTCATTGTTTTATTTATTGTTTTTTTATTGTATTCAGTTCATATATTATTTTTTTAAAGTCTTTGAAATTATTGAAATTCAATTATATAATATTATTTTTTTTCATTATTATATTTATATCATAACAAAATGAAACTAAGAAGAACCAATATTTTGATAAAGAAAAAGAAATAATAATATATACATAAATTTATGGAATAAATAATAATATATACATAAATTTATATATAGATAAATTAATAAAAAAAAATTAATCCCTAAAGATCGAATAATTAATTGCTCAATTAATTGATTAACTTTAATCAAATCATATTTACATATAATCAATTATAAATATATTTCTTCAAATAAATCATTAAGACAGATGTGATTTGGTTTTATCAATTCGTCAAAATAATCGAAGAAAATTTGCATTATTATTTTTTCATTTTAAATCATTAATTTATTAATTTTATGAATATACAATTAATATTATTAAATTTTATTATAATATTATAAGTTGAATTTCAATATTTCCGTCGCTATTATATATGTGTTAATTTTTGTTATATTATTATAAAATATCCTAATCTTTTTCTATGTAAATAAATTTTCTAAATGTATAAATATAAATATAAATATAAATATAAATATAAATATAAATATATATATATATATATATAAACATTGGATATATTTTTTCATGAATACATAATTATTATTTTCATAAATATTGAAACAAATAATTATTTTTATAATTCCTCAAATAAAATATGAATAAAGCATAAAATCGTAATTTAACTCCATTATTAAAAATTATGAATTTTAGAAATATGCAAGAAACAATATTTCTGAACATTTTGTACTTTTTCTAATATTATTCTATATAATATTACTATATACTACTATATAATACTTCTCTAATACTCTATAATATATAATATATAATAATATTCTTCTTTTTATAATACTTTATAATATTTTGTCGAAATAAAATGAAAATAATTAAATGAATTTATTATAATCTTTACTGAGTAATCTTATATAAGTTTTTAATATAATATAAAATTATTTAAATTATAATATATTTTAATAATTTTATATTCATAGGATACTTTGAAAATATCGATTCTAAATGTCAAAAGAAATATAAAATTTGATAAATGAAAATGTTAACTTAGTCTTTTATTTAATTATAAATATTTTATTCAAATATATATAAAGAGTTTTGTGTTAGATGAAATGAGATGAAAATAAAATGAGATTCTGTACTCCTATATAATCTTCCTATCTCGCTTCATTTATCACAAATTTAAATTGTTTATAATTTAATTATAAAATGCGAAAATATAAATTTGATCAAATCGAGAATTTTTTGAGATCAGAATCAAGTAAATTATATTACATTATATTTTGAGATTTCTAAAATTATTAAGATTTTTAGAAATATTATTTTATTCTCTAATAAAAATTATATCGCACATATGTAATAATTTGAAAAAGTGGATTAAAAATAAAATACTACATATACATAAAGACAAAAAAATAGATATTGAAAAAGATAATACATTTTGTTATTTTATTTATTATTATTATTTTTATTATTTATTTTTATTATTATTGTTGTTTTTATTATTATTATATATTTATTATTATATTATTTGTTTTTTATTATTTTTATATTTATTGCGTATTATTTTTTATTATTGTATTTTTTATCTTTTTTATATTATAAATTTGATATAAATTATTAACATTTATTATTGATAAATAATACTGTTGATAGCTATTTTTCATTGATACATTACATAACAAAAAATTACATTATAACAAATTATTATAAAATTTATACTAAAATACTTTTTTCAAGAATCATATATTACTAAAAATTAGCATTACATTATTATTATATTTAAGTACATGGAAATTATATAAAGTTCATAAACCTCTATTGTTTAAAAATGATAAAAATATTAAAAATTTAAGAAATATTATAAATATAATAAATACATGTACAGATTTGTTTAAAAAAAATCTTACTTTGCTCATTATTTGCAATTAGCAATAAAAAGAACATATTATTTTTGTTGATATTCTTCTGAATTTAGAATGATTTCACATTTAATACAATTTGATGTAGAACGAATTAACTATATATAGAATGAAAGAAAATATTATATATAAAATAGAAGATAAAAATAATAAAATAATAATAATGAGCATAAATCAACATATATATATTTAAATTACAATAATTTAAAGATTAGAAATTTTTTGATCATTTAATAATTCTTTAATTATGATTGTTGAATATATTTGAACAGAATAATGGAAATATTTTATATAAGTATTATATAAATATTATTATATATAAATTTATATATATAAATTTAATATATAATTTATATAATATTATTATATAAATTTTATATAAATATTATATAAATATTTTATATAATTTAAAGATATATAATATTCTGATATTAATGATATTAGTATATAAAAATATATAAATGGATTTTTTCTTACAATCTAAATTTCGGCTGGTAACATAATAATATATTTCGAAAAATTTGAAACTTTTTTTGTTAACATAAAGCAAATATTTAAATCTTAAATCAAATAAATACTAATATTATTTATTTAAGATTTCTTATCATTTACTATCTGGAATTAGTAGTAAATAATATATAAGAAATCTAAGTATTTGTTCTTATTTATACTTAATACTCGTAGTAGAATTTTATTTGTTGCAACTTTATTTATTGCCCGGAATTCTTGTTTGTTGCATTTTAGCGATCGTTACTATAAGAACTTGTAATGATGTAGAAATGGAAAAGTGTGAGAACATATCATAAAAAGATATGATTAATTACTTTTTTGTATTTTGATTTGCACAACTGAAGTTATATGCATCATTTCATGCAACTAACGAGATTCTAAATATTTATTTTTATATACGACTCAATAACATTAATATTTCATTTTAGAATGTTTATTATTAATATGAAATTGGTAATAGTAAGGATTATTTATTACTTTATGAAGTTTATTTTATTATTTATTTGTTTTATTATGAATAAATTTTATGAGTTTTTTTATTATGTCATATAATATACTTTTTTTCTCAAAATATTTCCGAATTTTTTTTTTTAATCATGCTATATCTTATTATTTAAAACATGTTTTCTTTTATATAATAATAAACAAAAAGTATATTTTGAAAAATATAATAAATAGGATAAACAATTCAATTAAGAAATTGGCTAAAAACTAATAAAATAAAAATTTCATTATATTATCGAATAAGTTATGAAATTTAGTGGAATATTTTTTATAATAAAATGTTATAGTACTGAATTTTTTAATTTAAAATGTTCTCTCACGCATACTATACAGTTATATAATATAAAGAAACAGAAAGAATCTTTGAACAAAATAATATTTCGTTAAAAAAGATATGAATATATAACAT